GCCTGCTATCCGCCCCTTTAGGCAATGCCTCTGCAGCAGGGCTGCCGGCCGAGCCTGGAGCGCTTTCTGCGCCCGGACCTTGTAATTATGCCCCACAGCCCGGGAAACCGCGGGCCTCGCAGCATCTGGCTGCGGTTGCGAACTTTTGTTTCAAGATGCGCGACTATTTATAGCAGGAAAACTGGTAGGATAGTAATTTCCTAGGAGCTGGAGAAGAAACGGCTGCGTCTTTATTAAAAGGGAATGGGGACAGCGATTTATTAGGGACGCAGGGGAAAGGGTAGCGAAGGGAGCGAGAAGGCAGCGGCTGCCCCCTCTGGCCGCGTTAGGCGACCCTGGACGTGGCCCGCGTGTAAAGGAGGGAAAGGGGGAGGGGAGGGGGAGGGAGAGCTGGCTCTGAGGTTTAATCAGTAGCATCCAGCTTAAATTCCCCTAAACGGCGGTTCTATAAATCAAACTTCTTTTTAAATCGGAGGCCAGAGCATATGCGTCCCATTAGGAGTCGGGCGAAGCTACCGCTGCGCGGACGCGCCCCCTCAGCTCTCTGAGCCACTGGGCCCTGGTGCAGCTTCTCAGCCCCGGGTGGGCGCTGCCCCGCCAGCCGCGTGCGCCCACGTTCTGCACACTCCCTGGCCAGGACACTTGGGCTCATTGCGGCTGTCCACGCGCGCTTGTCCCCAGGTGAGGAATCGACCAGGGCCGGGGTCAGGTCACCCGGTCGGGTTCGAAGGTGCGGGGAGACACAGCGACTAGGGGTGCAGCCTGGGAGCAGCCAGTGGGCGCGCCGTGCGCACATGTGTGCTCGGGGGAGCGAGAGCGTGCGTGCAGCTCTCCAGAACGTGGCACGGCCATGCGTGCCGCGCGGGCAAACACCGGGAAGGGGTCCCCCACTGGCGCAAGACTAGGCTGGGACGCACTGGAATCTCCGCGGAACCCGCGCGCTCTCCGACCCTTGCGCTTGCTTCGCACAGCCTGGTCTAGGCTGGCAGTCTGGGCGCTCTC